ATATTCAACAAAGTGTTTAATTCAACATTCAGTGGTTTAGTAAAACAAATAAAACTAGACATGGGTTTTTACGATGTAAAAACAAGTGTGCATTGCCATGTAGCATGTCATTGCAGCATGGCTTTGCCTGCAGCAGTGGACTTGCAGAATGAACTTTGACCAAGTTCAAATTGTTTTCTATACCAGCTTGTGCCTGTCACGTCAGCAGGTGTTTGTAATTAAGGTAATTGTGTGACAATATGAAATTTGAAAAGATTTTTTTGTTGAAGTTGCGTTTGCTGGGTTTTGAACCCTGATCTCCCACATGAAAGTCCATGACATAGACCATTAGACCAATAAAGCTGTGGAAGTAGATGGTGGCAGGGATTTGTTTGTATGTGTGCAGAAAGAGGCCACATTGCCAATACAATTATTGACACAAAAATGCATAATATTACAGTCGAGCAGTWTTAAGACAATATTATAGTAAAACATCAAAATACAATCATATTAGTACTGTAAACATTGAACTACTGAGTTGAAATATTAAACTATGGTGCAGTACCAAGTTGAGTACAGCATGGGGCAGTACTGGTCCAATACAAGGCTCCATTGACTGCCATTATAATTDATTAAACATTAATATTTCATAAACTATAAGTTTTACAGGCACCAAAAGGCGTAGCCATCATTTGGCACAGGAGCTTTACAGGTATAAATTACAATGGCAGCTCTAGGACAAAGTATGCAGGAGGAGAAGCATGGCAAAGTTTAGATGACTTGGATGGGGAACGAATCACAATAGTGTGCATTGCATTGGCAATGCACACTGATAATCTTGTGAGTCATTGAAAAAATTTAAAAAAACAGCCATTTTTGTAAGTTAAAATTTATGTTATCTTGTAACATAAAAGGAAAAACAATTGTTTCAAAAATGAACCTAAAAAATTAACACTGACTCAAAAATTTGCACATTCTTTTGAGTGTAAACTTTGGTATTATATTTTTTTTGTCTTTTAATTAACTACTTCATTCATTCATTCATTCATTCATTCATTCATTCATTCATTCATTCATTCATTCATTCATTCGTTCATTCATTCGTTCATTCAGAGGCAGTGGTTCAGTTGGTAGAGCTGTTGCCTCTCAGCAAGAAGGTGATTGGATCAAATCCCAGCCAGGAACCTTTCTGGGTAGAGCAGCCTTAGAATCTTCACTTTTCTTTGTTAATACTGTATATGTTGCAAAATGTTCTGTCTCACAACTTTTCAACTCTTCCAGTAAAATCAGATCTTGTAATTGATCCAGACCTTAACTCCTTGCACCAAACACAAGCAATCCAAAAGGCTTCCCTTTTCATGAGCAAATTCCTCATAATTCTGAAATATTCATGATCAAGCTCTTTTTCTAATGGCCAGTTGGTGGAATTCAACCTGTAAGTCCAGTTCATGCAGATCAGAAATGAAATCTCGGATTTCATCTCTTTCTTTTTTAATAGTTTGGACACAACAGCTGCTCTTTTGTGCAACGATTAAATTGCTCAATGGTGGGGTGATCCACAAAATCGTCCAACTTGAACTCCAGTCTGTTCAAAAAGCTAAGCACAAAACAAACCATACTCCCTAAAGGCACCAAAAAAACACCAATAATTAAGCACTGTCAAAAAAAAAGTGTGGTCCAGGTAAAATTAAGATCCAGTGTTTGAATTGCACGGCCACAGACTGCCACAGCGTCTGCGCACAACAAAATACCACATTGTAGGARGAGTGTGATCAAACACGTCAGCCTACATTTACTGACACGTTGCAACTAACCTGTCGAACCCCAGTGGCAGGGCTCTCTCATGAGAAGAGAGGCGTTTGGTTACGCTCCCAAAGTTGGACATATTTGTTCGTTAACAATGCTTGGAACATATAAACATTTAATACAGTTAAGTTTTAGAGACCAAATAATCCCTCCAAAAAAATTCTAATAAAGTTTAAATATYTATCYAATGGAGCATCATGGTGAAAGCCATAATGCCGCACTTGTGAAAGTAAAACAGTTAGGCCTAATCTCAACACATTAGTTCTGATTTTCACACTGCCAGACAGAACATTGGAAACAAAATAAGTTTTAGAGACCAAAGTCTCAGATTGCCCGAAAGCAAAGTGCAGGAGGAGAGTTCTGCTCATTCAGGATTGATCAGTGCTTAAACCTGCAAACTCTCTGCTGCACCTGGCCTCACTGATGAAAGACCCGATCTGCTCTGTTCCAACTGGATAAAACTAAGGCTCTGGGGTTCCTTTGATTCGTTGAAAGCAGTGTTTGATCAATTCTGTATCATTAGACTGGGCAGCTTTAACAAGARCACAACAGAAAACAACCCTGTTTTTTCCCTCATTTTTACAGATGACAGAAATCCAACCTGTTCACGTTCAAAATGACAAAATGAAATTTGTTGTGGCTATGGAGAACTTTAAGCCCCCCACACACATACACCCGCCCTTCCTTCTCGAATGACCTGTTGATCATGGTGCATTTGCGACCAAATTGGACACACTCTAGAGCAGAGGTTCTCAAACTGGGGTCCGCGATAGGTATCTTGGGGGTCCTCAAAAATTTTTACTAAATTTAATTTGGTTTTTATTTTTAAAAATGCATGGAGAACAATGAACTAATAAAACAAACATAATAAACTTAATAAAAAATATGTATTCCCATGGCATTTAGGGGTTGAAATGACAATAAGTTGACTTTTAAAACAGCATGGGGTTTATGAGGGGGGTCCCCAGACCCACATGGCTCACACAGGTACYGGTCACATTGTCCAATACAAAACATAGAAGGTGAGTCTGTCATATGTCGATTATGCCATGTCATCTCTGCTGTGTTTTAGCTTTGTTGTGAATCCAAATTGTGTTTTGTTTCTACTCAGGTCTGTTAACATCAATTTCCAGCAGCAACACCYTTTTGTCACTAACCAGAGCAATGCTTGCTCTTTGTAATCTCTCATTCTGTTTTACTTTTTTGAAAAAGGTTTTTTGTACATAACATTTTAAATATAATTATAAACCTTTCTGAAAGTGGTAACTAGGGGTGTCCTAAGTATCTAGTGAYGTACAGATCAAGGCATTTTTCAATGATTGCATCAGAGTAGCTGCCACACTTCAGATCTTGATCTAATTTTTTTACATCTTGTCATCTGCACTGCCATACAACTGATGTACAGCAGCACCCACTATGATGTACAGGCCTGGAAATTAAAGACCAGCATGGTTGGTTTTCTCTTCAATTAGGCAGTAAAAGATTCACTAACAGACCACCTGCCTGGCATCAGACTCAGTTTATTGTCATTCAAACCTTACAGATATGAATGAAAAACCCAGGTCTTGGTGTGTAGTATTATTAAAACGCTATAAATAAGATAAGAACATCCAAAAACTTGTTGTTCCTATAATATTGTAAAGAAGGAAATGTGTAGATATTTATGATAAACTACAAAAAAACATTTAAAACAGACTCACCTAGAGAACATGCCATTTTGTTTTGGGGGAGGCGTTGACATTAAACGGAGACTCATCTTTGCTATAATATGGGCTAAACAAATGTTCATCTGTTAGAGTTTATATTGTTTCATTAGAAAAACGGAAAAAGTGAATCTCACAGAAAGACTCACAACCTGTGCATACTGCAGCTCACTCCCATGGCAGCGTTCTCTCACGATAAGAGGAGTTTGGTCACGCGAGCAAAGTTGGATATATCTGTTCGATAACGACGATCTGAACACATGAACGTATAGTACAAAGTTAGAGTTTAGATACCAAAGTTTCGGGTAGCTTGGTAGAGAAATGTTGAAGAAGAGGACAGGAGCTTTAGGCTGACCAGTACTGCAGACTGCTGCACCTGGCCTGAGAAGCCTCACCCACATCAGAAAGACCCACCCTGCTCTGCTCTGATTGGATAAAACTGACTGTGGGATTCATTTGATTTTCATCCTGGCCAGTGAAAATAATGGAAATCCGTCGCGGAAATTTAGAACTTTAAGCCCTGTGAGCATA